GCTCTGCTCCGCTCCGGTCTGACAGACGTGCAGGAAGGAGATCGCCGGAGCGGAGCGGAGCAGAGCCAGAACGCAAGTAGTGTAAATCAGGGGTTACACTGGCACGATGGATCAATGGTTAGCACTATTGCCTCATGGCAAGAGGGTCCAGGGTTTGATTCCTGGTTCAAACCTGGGGTCTTTCTGTGTGGTTAGCACGTTCTCCTCATGCTTGTGTGGGTTTCTCCGGTTTCCTCCCACAGACCAAAAACATGTACAATAGGGGGCCTTCAGGCCCAGGCCTCCCTTGAAAAATCGATATCTGATCTCAATGGGATTTGCCTGGTAAAATAAATGGTCAAAAATAATAAAATTATATGCTTTATCCTGTTCCTGTTTACATGACATCAGTGCTTACCTTAAACAGTTTGAGTCTGAAAAAGTGTAATCTCTGAGCAAACTTATCACACAGAAAGTCTATATGGACACTTCATTTTAAACTAAAACCCAGTTGCTTGCCCAAATATTTAAACGAGCAAGCTTGTTCAAAGGCAGGTGTGTACAGTACTTTGAAGAGTCTAATAAACTGCACTTAAGACCCGTGAATCAAAGGTTGTGGTTCAGCTGACCCAATGCATAAAAAAATAAGCACAAATATCAATAAAGTTTCCGTAGATTTGCACAAGAAGACACATGCTAGGTCTAGCCTTATCCGCATGTGTATTAATCAATGTGTTTATGTTTTACAACATTTACCCTATTAAAAATAATTTGCATTGCATCTAGCTTTAGAAAACAAAGTGAGCTGTATGAGCAGCACAAAACACCGTTTATTCATAATCCTTGGGTCAAAATGACCCACGAGAAGGGCAGCAAGAGGGTTAAACCTACACAGTCACAGATCATTTAGGAGCCTCAGCTGAGTACCATAAGAAATTCTTCAGTACTGTTTATAATAGAAAATCAGAAGAAAAACCAGAGGGGAGGGAAGTTACACAGCCAAGATATCCTTGGCAAACAGCAAACTTGGTGAAAATCTTTTGTGGACTTTTACAACCCAAGACCCAGACAGATTTTGACTGAATGCATAAACCAAATCTTCTTCAAAGCATGCCAATTTCAGTGCGGCTGTTTGCTAGCTTGGAGGATGACAGAAATCTCTAAAAGAATACTAAACAAACAGTGAAAGGAAGAACAATATTTTGCAAACAAAAGCTGCCAATTGACCAAAAGCAGCTGACGTTAGGAAAGCCGACACACACAGGCCGCCTCACACTGTAGCTCTGCTGAAAGGACCCGCAGTGATGGATCATCTTTTATACTGACATATCTCCCATAAACGTGATCATTAAACTACATTTAAATGGTAGTTAATTAAAACACTGAAGGGTTATATTCGATAATTGGCTCCAGATAAAAATCTACCTAAAAGTTAAAAGCCTGTAATACCCTTTCTCTGGTGTTTTCCCAGTAAGGGAATATGCAGTTTGTGAAGCAAAGGTTTCCAAGTAACTGTCTGCTTTGTGGGATTTTTTTTAAAGACAGGACAAGTAGTCTATTTGAAATGATTATCATTTAAAATCTGATGTACTGTACTTGCAGAAAACTGCCTGCGCCATTTCTGTTGTTCGTTTTTATTATCCTTTCAAAATCTATGTAAACAAAAGTGGGTTCTTTTTTGTTGTTGTTGTTATTTTTTGTTTTTTTGTTCACCAAGTACAAGCAGAACAATGTTGGARCTTTCAAAGGACAGAACATTTCTTTACTTCCCTTGAAAAATATGACACATACTGCCAGAAAAGGAACAAAAAAAAAAAACACATTCACAACAGAGGACAAAGTCCAACCATGTAAATAAATCTGATGTGACAAACTCACTGCTGAAGTCTGAATGTTTCACCACAACACTGACTTACAGAGAAGCGAAAGAAAAACCGGAAAAAAAAGCTGTCTGCTGTAATAAAGCAGGAAAAACTTTGAGCCACTTCAAAAGTCAATTCAGTCATTCAAGAAAGAACAGTCTATTCATGTCAAGTGGATTTTCAGAATGTAATTTAGGCAGCAAATCGGTTTACAAATTAATGAAGAACAAAACAAATACTGGCTGTTTCTATTTGGATTATTATTGTTCTATAATGAACACAACTCAGCTGTCAGCCTCTGCCTTGAGAGAGAAAAAAACTGCTCTCATGTCGAGCGAATAAAGCACCCATCAATTTAAGCTAAAGCCTATTGAGCGAACAAAAAAAAGAAAAGTAAAAGGCAGAATAAAACTTCTAGGGAGGGAACATCTGCAATAAAACACAATGTCGAGAAAATGTAAAAATAATTGAATGTTAACAAGTAAATCTATAATTATGAACGTCTGAAAATTTCTTTAACACAAAAGTGACTGAGTTTCCTATTGTTTCGTTGATTCCAACAAAACGCGTTAGAGGAACATTTTTTACAGTCTGCAAAAGCATTAATCAAGCCTCTAAAGGCAAAGAGCACAGATTATTTGTTTGCTTTATTTTTCAATAAATAAGACAATTCATTATAATTAAAGTGTGTCTGTGTCCTTCGATTTCATTCATGTAAAGATAACAGAACAAAAGCACTGCAGAAAATTAAAATCAAACAAGTGTTGAAAAAAGAAAACAAGTGCCTTTTTAGTCAAACAGTAATATGTAATCACTTTAACACAACAAACTTCATCACACTGTGCCATATTAGGATGCTGTTTCTTAGCAAACTTAAGCACACAAACATCAAAAAGACTGTTTATTGAAACCCCTCCCCTGCTTGTGCACCTTGTTAAAGATTTTTTGTTTGCAAAGAACCCAAGGGCTTCCACACGTTTGATGTCTGGGATGAGGTAGAAAAAAAAAAGAAATGCTGTTCAACAAATAGCCTGAAATAAGCAAGTGTTTACTGAACAAAAACGAGTAAGAACAGCGAAGCACGGTTATGGAAAACTGTTTATGGACTGCTTAAATAAACTTGTTTTTCATTTTTCTAATGTCCTCTCATGTTTTCGCTGAAACTCCTAAAGATGGCCTTTTGTCTGGTTACAGTCCTCTTTGTATTTTATCAGCTGAATCACGTTTGCTTTCTGGTTTTATTGGGAGAGCTTTTGGAAAAGAAAGAAACAACACACAACTGTGACGCCTCGAGGTTTTATTGCAAGTGAGCCAGCCACTAGAGTTGAACAGTGGTAGCATGACTTGAAAAAAGTGATGATAAAAACTGTCCATCCCTAAAAAAGTAATCATGGTGACATTACATTGACGAGGCTAGCGTCTGCATCCTCAGAGCGTGTCCTCATTGTTGGTCCAGTAGTTGCATACAGTCTGCCGTCAAGGCCTCAAACAAATACGGTTTCCAAATGATAAAATAGAGACTTTAGTATATTAGTGATGATTTCTTACATATCATAAACAACAGATTGCTAAAGCACCGTTGGATCTGCAAGCTGTAAAACATTTAAGTTACTATTTTTAATACAGTCTCTTTATGGATACAAGCAGGACCATTTGCAGTTTTCATGTAGCCACAGCTTGAAATAAAAGCTTGGTGATTTGACTTTCTGCATTTATATTGTGTTTGTTTGTTTGTTTGTTTGTTTGTTTAGCTGAGAAGCAGGATTTTAGTTCCTTTACTTCACCACAATTATCTGCAATACTTACAATAACTGCTTATGTACTATACGCTACTGGCCATGTTTTGCATTTCTGCAGTTATCTTATTCAGCATCACGCTTGCCGCAGTTAGCCCACAGCATTTTAATCTGACTGCTATAAATATAGCTCATGGAACATAAACCACATGGCCACAAAATGATAAGGAGTGCATCACCATTTGTGGGCAATAAAATGAACCCTTATTCCCAGATAACGTTGATGCCTATTGTTCAAATATTGAATTTTTCATGTTTAGACTGATACCAAAGCAAAACTCCAAAAAGTTTCCTGTACAGCTTCTTTAGGGCCTGCCCATGGGTCCAGATTAAAACACACAGATGTACAGATGTGTTTAAAAT